TTTCCAGGAAAGCTCCGGGTTTCTCCGGAGCGGGAGAGCAGAATGAGCCAAGAGGGCGAACGAGGCTGCCCGGGAAGGAGCGAGCTCGGATCTGGGTCAGCCGCCAAGGCAGGGCTGGGCCGGCCGAGCCGCCCCGGAGCATCCCCGGCCCCGGGAGAGGGAGCGGCTGCGGAGCAGGTTGCAGATGGGAGGGAAGGGAGACAGCCAGCGCTGCCGCTCGGGGCCATAAATTACCCTGCAGGTTTCCTAATGGGACCCTGATTTATCTCCTGCCTCTGTCTGGACTAATTGAGTTCATTCCGCTCGGTGATTCATGCCATGGAAATGGGTTCCAGGGAAAATGGGACCTCGAGCGGCTTCGGCAAATCCCCGGCGCTCTCGGCCCGGCAGCCGGAATGCTTTTAGGGGCGGCGGGTGCGGGAGGGCAGCAGCCCCCGGCCCATCCGTCACCGCCAGGGCGCGGCTCGGGTTTCACCGGGGCTGCCGGGAGGGCCCGGGGGCGAAACCGGAGCGGGAGCGACCCCCGACCCCCGGGATGAGGGGGGGACTGGGGGTCGCAGCCCCCGGAAGGGACCTCGGGATATCCGGAGTGGGGAGGGACAGAGACAGGGAAAATGCCGGGAAAACAGGAGGGAAAACGGGGCTTGGATGGATGGATGGAGAGAGGGAATCCATGGATGGATGGATGATGGATGGATGGATGGATGGATGGATGGATGGATGGATGGATGGATGGATGGATGGATGGATGGTGGATGGATGATGGATGGATGGATGATGGATGGATGGATGAGAGATCAGCCCATGGGATTGGAAGCGGATCCCATGTTGCTGGCACAGAACTCCATGGCACTGGCAGAGAATTCCATGGGGCTGGCAGAGACCCCAGCCCAGCACGAGACCTCCCCACGTCCCCAGACCTCTGTGCAGTCCCTGGGGGCTGTCAGGGATCCATCTCCCCATAAATCCAGCGCTGGGATCCCTCTGTGAACCCCCAGCAGCCCCGGGTGCTCTCAGATCCTCTCCCCGCCCCGGGCTCTCCTCTCCCGCCCGGATCCGCTGCCCCCCTCGGCACTTCCCCCGTCGCTGTCGTGTCCTGGCCCTCATTAAATCCCTCCTACAAGCCGGGATAAAATTGCTTTTACCCAATTTCCTCCTGGCTGTTTGCTGCCTCGGAGAATCCCAGCGCGGCCGAGCCAGCGCTGCCCGTCCCAATCCGATTATCCCGCCCCGATCGATCCCGGCTGCCTGACCTTTGGCAAACTCTCACCTGCCTCCCGGAGCGCCCGGCGTCCCCGCGCAAATTCCCACCAAAGCCGCCCCGTCCCGCTGGGAAAGGGTTAATTAAAACAAAACCAATCGCGGGATGATTGAGGGGCCGGGAGGGCGCTGGGGGAGCGGCCCCGGGGATCCCTCTGGGGTGCGGGGACACCGGGCTGGCTCCGGCCCCGCTCCCGGCCGCCTCCCGCAGATGCTCGCGGCTCATTTGCATAAGCAATGAAGGCAGCAATTAAGTTCCCTCATCATCTCGGCGGGCTGGGAGAAGAGCTCCCTCCTCCTGCGGCAGGCACTGCTGGGAAGAGGCTCTGGAGAGGAGAAATTCCCACCCGGGGGCGAAATTCCCACGCGGAGGAGAAATTCCCACCCCCACCTGCACAGGGGAAACTGAGGCACGGCTGAGCGGGCAGCTGGAATTGCCGGCACAGCCACGGAGAACATCCCGGCCTGGAGCGGGCTGGGAGGAGCCCAAAAATCCCCTGGATCTCTCTGGGCTGCACAGTGGGATTAGAGGGGTTGTTTTAGGGCCCTTCCAGCGGGAATATTCATCCTATTCTATTAAATCCTATTCTATTCTATTTACCCCTATTTTATTTCTAATTTATTTCTATGTTATTTCTATTTTTTCTATTTTATTTCTTTTTTTTTCTATTTTATTTCTATTTTTTTCCTATTTTATTTCTAATTTTTTTCTATTTTATTTCTAATTTTTTTTCTATTTTATTTCTATATTTTTTTCTATTTCACTTCCCTTTCATCTTTATTTCATTTCTATTCCATTCTATTCATCCCTCTTCCATTCCACCTTTATCTCGTTCTACTCCAGCCGAGCACTCAGTCAATTAAAACCAATCCCCACCCCCAAAGCAGAAACAAACGCAGCGAAAAGCGCAGCCCCGAGCCAAGCAAAATAAAAAATCTCCTCTCGGCCGGCTCATCCCCACTGCCACTCGTTTCCTCCCGGCTGCGGAATTCCTGATCCAGCAGCAGCAGCCCCGGGATCAATCGGTTCCCGAAGCCGGGGAGAAGGAGCCGGCCCCGCCCGGGGGATCGATGGATCATCGATAACGCTGCCGCCGCTGCCGGGTGTGGCCCCGTCCTCCATCCCTGCCCGTCCCCATTCCCGGGATTTTCTCCCCCGGTTCCTCGGAGCTGCCCGGGCCCTGCTTTCTCTCCGGGGTTTGTTTTTCCCAGCCCGGCTCGGCTTTCCCGGAGGTTCCTCCAGGCCGGCCTTATAAGGGCCCGAGGATTCATCCCGAATCCCCGCCGCTGCCGGCAGGGTGATGGATGGCGCTGGAAAACACGGGAAGAAAGGGAAAAAGGGAAGGGGGGAGGCCGGGAGCTGCCAGGGAGGGGGATGGAGGGAGGAATTGCAGGCCTGGAAAGCTGGGAGAGGAACCCGAGTGGGGCACCCCGAGGGGAAGGGATTGGGTTTGGGAACTCGGGGGGCGCTGGGCCGCTCCTGCCCCGCGGCTTTTGGGGTGCCTGGAGCCTCGGGGTCACATCCCAATCCCAGCGGGAATCAGTGCCCGGGAGCCCTGGGCAGCACCGGGGGGCAATTCCGTGTCCCCTGTGTCCCCCGTGTCCCCCATGTCCCCCGTGTCCCCAAGCCTGGCAGTCCATCCCAATGGGAATTCACCTTCCCTGCTCCACCTGCACCAGCATCGCCCCATCCCTGCAGGAATCACAGCCCCCTTCCCATGGAATAACTGACCCATTCCCATGGAATCACAGCCCCATTCCCATGGGAATAACTGACCCCATCCCTGCAGGAATCACAGCCCCATTCCCATGGGATAACTGCCCCATTCCCATGGAATAACTGCCCCCATCCCTATGGGAATCACAGCCCCATTCCCATGGGATAACTGCCCCATTCCCATGGAATAACTGACCCCATCCCTATAGGAATCACAGCCCCATTCCTATGGAAATCACAGCCCCATTCCCATGGGATAACTGCCCCCATCCCTGCAGGAATCACAGGCGGGATGGCTCTTCCAGGGATTTCCCGGGATGGTTCCCAGACTGGCACCGGGACACGGTGGTGGCAGGGACGGGGCTTGGGGACTGCAGGCCGCGGGCTCGGTGTCCCCAGCACGGGGAGAGGAGGAGGAGGAGGAGGAGGAGGGGGAGGAGGGGGAGGGGGAGGAGGGATTTATCCAAGGGCCTGAGGAAAACATCTGGATTTGCCACTTGCTGCGGTAAATTAATTGCGGGATCCCGCTGTGCCAGCCCTGCCTCCCGTCTGCTCCCGGGAGTGTCCCCAGGGATGGTGTCCCCTGTCCCCTGTCCCCTGCAGCCGGGGGAAGCCCTGTCACCCCCTCCCGTCCCGCTGGGGCTGCGGTGCCATCCCTTAAAAACCCCTTAGACTCTGGGATCGTGGCTGGCATCCCAACCAAACCCTGGGTGGGCAACCCCGACCCCCTGGTGGGCATCAAAAGCAAAGCCTGGGTGGGCACCCCAGCCCCCGGGTGGGCACCCCAGCTCCCGGGTGGGCACCCCAGCCCCCGGGCAGCTCCCGGCCGTTCCCACCTGGCCCCAGCGTGGCTCTTTGCCTGCGGGCGCTGCTCCATGTGGCTCGCAGATGTTCCGCCCGTGACGGAGAACAAACGGCAGCTTTGGCCCGGCTTTAATCCCACGGAGGAGCTGCGAGAGAGGGAATTCCGTGAAGCCCTTCCCGGGCCGAGCCGGGCGGGAGCAGCCGGCCCCGAGCACCTCGGGCTCTGAATTGGCTTTTCCAGAGGAAATCCAGCGCCTCCCCGCCGCGACCCGCGGGATTTTGGGGCTGCAGGGGTGGGAAGTGCTGGATTTTGGGAGCCCCAGAAGCACCTGCAGAGCCCGGAGCGGGGAGGAAACACCTGGAGCCGGACGCACACGAGGCCAAATCCGCTGTGCCGTGGCCACAGAGCCACCCCGGGGCAGTGACAGCGAGTCGGGGCCGTGCCCAGTGGCACCAGTGACACTGCTGGGTGACCCCGCGGAGCTGACACAGCGCTGCGGGATGGGCAGCGAGCCCTGGCATTCCCGGCTGCCGGTGCCGTGGGATCGGGGAGGGCAGGAGGCCGGGCAGAGTCACCCTGGAGCGCCAGGACAAAGGAGGGTGGCACGCCGGGACCTTTTAGGGACGCTCAGATGGGATTTCTTTGCTGTGGAGGGCAGAAACACAAAGATTTAATTCAGCCCCCGCCGCGTGTCACCCTCCGGGGGCCTCTCGGTGTCACCCGCACAGCGGGGACAGGCCTGGGGTGTCCCCGGGGTGGGGACGCTGTCCCTTGTCCCCTGAGCCGGAGCAGGGCTGGTGACCCCATCCCGCCCCACGGGGCTGCGGTGGCACCGGCGACCCCGCCCCGCTGGGGACACGGCGGGGACGGAAGGACGGGGACGGACAGAGGGACGAGGAGGGGAGGGGATGCAGAGGGGATGAAGGACGGACAGACAGCGCAGAGGAAAAGCGATGGATGGGCTGAGGAGCCCCGGCGGGGCTCGGGGGAGCGCACCCCGAGAGCGCTCCGTGGGCGGGCGGCGGGGCCGGGGGGCTCGGGGGGGGCTCGGGCTTTGTGTGGCGGCGGCGGAGGGTGCGGGCTCGGCCGCTCCGTGATGCTCCGGGGGCGGGGAGGAGGAGGAGGAGGAGGAGGAGGAGGAGGAAGAGGGGGAGGGACTTGCAGCTCTTTTCTGGCCGCCGCCGCGGCGGAGAGCGGCAGAGCGAGGGCAGCCCGGCCGCGCTCCGGCTCCGGGGGTGTCACCGGCCCCGCTCCCCCCTCGCCATGGCCGGGCTCCTGCCGCTGCTGCTGCTCCTGCTGCCGGCGGTGAGTGCGGGGAGCAGCGCCCGGGGCAGCCCCGGGAGCCCCGGCGGGGAGGGCGCGCCCAGTCCCGGGGGCACCGGGAGCGTCCCCGGAGGCACCGGGGGGATGGAGAGTCCCCGAGGCACCGGGCGGGGGCGGGATGGAGGGGCCCGGAGGCTTCACACGGGGGTGTTCGGAGGGTCCCGGGGACCCCAGGATGGCAGCCCCGAGGGTGAGGGGCACAGGCAGGAGTGGGGTCCCAGCCTTGCGGGGTTGGAGGGTCCCGGGTGCACCGGAGAGCCCCGGGGGGGCCGGGCAGAGCTCTTTGGGGTGCGGAGGGAGGGGGCGCGGGGAGCTGGGTGGGGACGGGGGTCCCGCAGCCCCTCCGGTGCCGCTGCCCCGAGCTCTGCCGCTGCAGAGGGTGACGGAGCCCCAGCCCGAGGGGAGCGGGGGCAGAACCCCCCAGTGCCTTCATCACCTGCCCCCCACTCACCCCCCAAACCTGTCCCAGACTTTCCGGGCTCCGAAGTGCCCCAGAGCTGAGGCTGAGACCCCTTTCCTGCCGGCAGAGCCCTCGCCGTGTGCCCCAGACAAAAAACTTCAGGGCAGGGGGGGCCAGCAGAGAGGGGAGCGCTCGGAGTGGGGCCGGGGGGGTCCAGGCCCGCAGCTGGGCAGGAACGGGGCTTTTTTGGGGGCAGAGTTTGCCGGGGGTCCCAGGGGGGCCGTCAGGCAGCCGGACACCCCTCGGGCAGGATATTAAAGGCGGAGTTCAGCAGGGGCTGAGCGGCGGAGCGGGGCTGGCACCGCCGTGCCGGGGGGGTCCTTTGCCCTCACCCCCACGGGATGGCGATGGCCAAACTCCCCCGGGACCCCCGGGACAGCGGGCGGGGCCAGGAGGGTCCCGAGCTGTCCCAGCCGTATGGATCCCAACCATTCCCCCCCCCGGCATCGCCCTCTCGCCCCCCCCCCCGGCTGCCTCAGCGGGCCCGGGTGTCCCCAAATAG